CTATAGTTATGTGATGTCATGTGTTGGAAGTGAACTTGTCAGAAATGTATCACAAGAAACAATACCTTCCGCGAAGGCATTGAAAAACACCGGACAGGCAGTTTTTTCCAAAAGACCAACCAAGGACTTTTAGACCAACAATGTATATTGATGCAAAATACAGTATGTTATCATCCTATGATCGGGATTTGCCAATGTGCAACCAAAAAATATCCAAAACAATGTCCAAGTCACTTAGTGTTGATGAACGAATCGAGTCTTTCTAGGTCGCCAACCTGAGCCCCTGATTCGTTGGTATGGCCACCGCAGAAGAACTGGAGAACTTGTCTGCAGTCTATAATCAAACACAGCAACAGTGTGTGTACAAAGTGCATGAAGCCAAACAAAAAACAAACAACTTGCCGGCTGGTAACATCTGGTAACTAGATCCCAAAAGAAGAGGATAACGGCCTTTTCACTCAATCCAATTACATCACCAACCCCGAGGGTCAGAAACCAAACCAACAGTCTCAGTCTCAAATGGTCTCAGGGTCTTGAAGCGGTGTCCGGGTTAATTTATGCAAAGCCTTCGGCGTAGGACCTAGGACATGGAACCACCTGGATATGGCCCTCCTGGTGAGCCAAGACACCTGCCATCAATCGCAAAGTCCTTTGTCTAGCCATTCCTGGCCAGGTGACTCACGAGCATCCTATAATCTGCCGACCCCGTTCTAGGACCAAGAGAACGTGAGCGTGAGCGCACCGGTGCCGGCGTGCTCCTGAGGATTAGTTTGGTATACGGTATATGTATAGTCCTGGGCCTTGGCAATGAACCATCGCTTTGCGAGAAATAGCCAGATTCTGACCAAATTTTCGACATTTCCCCCTTTTGGAACTCTGTGGTGGTTCAATTCCCCCTTGGCGCGCAGAATGTGGCGATTCCGCCAGATGGTGCCGCGCGCGCTCTGCACCACCCCAGCTTCCGACTTGCGGGCGGCGCGCGCACGCGGCGCGGGACCGAGTATGGCGCAAAAAACTAGCGGCCCGTTCTTTACCATGCCGGACTCGAGGCCACCGTCCAACATGGTGTAAAAGGCTTGCAAACCTGGTTTGTAAAACCATAGTAGATGATAGATGCACATGTTCAAGCATTTGTTGGAGTGCACACGCAAGTACAGATCCGCAACTGAAAACTAGATCTGAATGTGTATATGGTGAAATTTGCCAATTTGTGCATGTGGATAAAGATACAATAGCCGCTTTGCACACTGGTTTGCGGAGGAGGAGACAACAGGGACTCTGAAGAAGGTGTCTTCCACCATTCAAGGGCCGGCACGTGGAGGCATATTTGATCATATTTGCGCAAAGTTGCCAAGTTGATGCAATTGAGGCCAGGTTTTCCTGGCGAGGTTTAGCCAGCATTTTTGACTTTTGGCCAGGTTGGCATGTGCAAAGAAGCGCATCTCAAGGACTGCGTTGAGTCAAAGTGGTCGTTTCTTTGTTTTTTCTGATGATATTGCTTTTGATATATCGATCGTTGCTCAGGAGGACCAACATGGAGCAAGCGTGGTGACGATGATGCAGGTGAGATAAAGGGCGGGCTGGTTTCCGATGATCCCGTTAAACTAGCCCATTTGACCGTGACCTCGTTAAACTGAACCATCGGACTTGCAGGGATGTATAGTGTATATGGAGACATATATTATATGAGTTATATATATACTATATATATCAGTGTCGGACAAAATCTCGTATCCAGCGTAAGGACATAGCCTACAAATGCCTAGAAAGGGTCGGCCCCCATTGACTTTGCAGGTTTCCCATTCCCACGTGCACCCTGCGACTACTTTACTTTAGTCTTTGCAGAGTTTGTCCGATGCTCGTATGAGTTGGTTTCTAAATTATATACTTGCTCTTTGCTGTATTCATTCAAAGTTAGGACGTCCTGTATCGTTTTACAATTTTTGGTAGAATGAGCACTGGACTGCACGTGTCCACTTGCAGTTTTTGCATGTTTTCGCATGGTGGAGTCTTGCCACCAACAATGAACGTCAAGGAACACAACAAACAAAACAAAAACGCAAACGCACAAACAGCAAGACACAGGAACCCGTTTTCGTGATCATTCGTGATCTGAGAGCATCCCCCGCAAACACTGGAAGTGTGACGAGCTCTGTGAAGTGAGGAAGGACAACAGCACGGTTGCAAAGGGCTGCTCCAGCAAGCGCAACATTGCTGGCTTCTGCCGCTCGTTTGCTGACGTGATCTCTTTCACTAGAAGACGCCGCAGGCCTGCCTGCACCTTTGCTGACTTGCCCATGGGGCACTCTAAGGAGCTTCCCTTTTGCACTCTCTCGGTGTACCTTGTTCAGTGGTGGAGCGCCGGCGTAGCCTTTCCTCATAGATGGGGCCAGCCCATGAGCCAAGAGCCAGGACACAGCCCTCCAAACACAGGCAATCACAGTCCGTAATTGCCTGTGACACTTGCAAGAACAAACCAGTTCATGAAGTGACGCCCTTCAGACCCTTGAGCACAAATGCTCAGACGAGTTGCTGTAGCAGGAGGACATACCAAAACGAACTCAGGAAAACTCAAGGAACTAATGCATGTAACAAGAGAGGTATCGTTTTTTGGGACGTCCCGTATCGTTTTCCAAGGAACACCCGAAATCACACTCTTGGATGAAACACCCTTGTATAAAGTCAATGACGATAATTTTGAAAACAACTCATATAACTTCACATGGTCCTTCATTTTGGCCATTTAGGGCCTCTATGGTCTTTTTCCAAGATTCTTGGCCATTGCAACATACAAATATACGCCATCTGACCGGAACATCTTGAGCGGTTGGTACTATCATTCAATGACTCTGTGTCAGTTTGAGTTCATTCAAATTGAACAACAACAATGAAAGGCGAACAATTTCCAGGTCGATCAAATATTATCAGACCGTCATCGTGAACCTATAGATCCAGAACAACCATGCGGCCGACTCAAAACAAAAAAGACCACTGTTGCCACCCCACATCTTGATTCTTAAGCCACCCCATTTCAGTTCCTAAGTGGACCGCATGAGACTGCGAGGGTCTGCATTTTGGCGCTGCTTTAGTGGGTGACGCACACCGCCAGGTCTGAGCAGGTCGTTTAATGAATTGGACCACGTGCGTGCGTTCGGTGAGCAATGGATCAGTGATGATCAGTGAGCTCTGAGAGCCTTTGGCGAAGCCTGCTGAAAGTAAATGTAATGGATCTAATGGCCTCCAACCCAAGAGCAATGGCCTCCAACCTAAGAGCGATGGCCTCCAACCTAATAGCTCAAAGTGGATCGAATCATAGCTCATCATAAGTGCCACGTTTTGCTTCAATGCATCTGAAACCGTCTGAAAGTGTTACAAGACTGGTGGACTGGTGGACCCGAGCAAGTAAGAACCACCATGAAGTATCGGAGTTCATTCAACATCACAGCGTTGCGATGAATAGCATGTGTGTTTTAAGGTAACAGTGAAGGCCATTAACCAACAGTTTGCCAAGCAGCTTGACACAGCGGTCTGCATATATACATAAAAAGTACCAAACAGTACCCGCGACACCCACCCGTGCAACGGATTCCAATCAGCCTACCTTTGAGAGCCCACGGAACCATACTATCTTCTGTACCTCAACATCTGACCCCATGCCCTCAACTTGGGCCAACATCAAGAACAGCGCATATTCCAGCCAACGCTTAGCAAAAGCAATGACTTGAAACAGTGACTTGCCCGACTGTTTCGGCCAACACCTCACGTGATCTCAGCACCAGCGCCGGCTAAGCCGGCTAAGCGAGATCGTCGCAAAGAGACTGGAGATGGTAGGAATCAACTGACTAACCTCCTTCCAGGAATAACATCTTTACACACATTGAACTGTTACCCGTAGCCCGATTTTGTGATAGGACTAATTTCAGTCGGGCACCCACTTAGTCGAGTGGCATAACCATGAAGGACTTTGTGTTATGTTGTGGCTTGATTGCCTGCTACAATTCACCTGAGAGCTCTTGAACACTGGAAATGATTGACTGAGCTACATTATCTCTTGCGCATGATTTCTTTTGCAAATAGAACTTTCTAGCTGCTCTGTCAGAAGATTGAGCCTGTTGTGATCTGCACACCTCCTGTTAACTTGGATCAATTATGCATTTGGCTCGGCTGCAGCTGCGGATGGGCAAGGCTTGATCGTTGCGTCGTTGATCAAGAAGCAATCATGCAAGTGGCTGAAACATCAATCTGTGTTGATTTGAATTGCTACATTCATCACTAATTCTCTATATATACCAGCTGTCAGCTCTTGACTCTTGATTGAACCTGAAATTCAAAGGCAGCAGCATAACATCCTGCGATATGATACGGATGTAGGACAAAACCATGACAGTCTGGTGGCACCGCACAAAAATGAAGTCGCAGAGATATCAAATGGCCTGGATTCTTGGGGGGGAACGGGTTGCTCACCACGTGATCGACGCAGTGCAAAGAGCGAAACATTCAAAAACTGTAAACCTTCTGACCCACTCCTTTTCAGGTTTTGAGTTTTGACTCACAGCCGCTGTTGGACAAACACAATATTGGGATATCTTGGGAACCCCAAAATGGCACTGAGTCTGAGGCCCATTGAAGGCTAGGGATGTTTCATCCACACTTTGGCTCCCAAGCCCATAGCGTGATCAACCCGGCAAAAGAACAAGCCAAAATACAACGTTTCTAGTTAGATCTATATACATCTTCATTCTGAATTGAGTCTCACTATCTCTCACTCAGCTCCATTGAGCTTGGCTCGCCGCTCGCTTTTTCACAATGAAACCACGCTTTGCTGTCTCTGACTCACTTCCAGACCTCGGTTTCTCAGTCTTATCGCACAACTTTGGTGTGATGATTAGGTGGGACCAGGCGGTGGGACGCCTCCAGCTTGCACGGTGCTCGGAATCAGACTGACAAATCGCTAAACTTTGGGAGACGCCGCGGACACCTCTTTTACTGTCACTGGCAATGAGTTTCAACCCCACGGCAAGACCTCCAGGCTTCCGGACGCCTTGCCGTTCGCGAGGTGTGCCGCATCAGCGCGCAGGTGAAACCCGGCCCCCTCGGGGCCGTGAAGGCCTGGAGCCATGTGCCGGCTTTGGCCGAACTCATCGGTCCAGCTTCTCGGGCGCACTCTTGCCAGCCTGGCAGCTTCGGAATTTGTTCTCCATCTTGATGATTCGCTCGTTCAGGAGCTTCTTGTCATGGTCCGATGGTGGGACCTTCCCCTCATTTTCCCACTGCTTCTGCCATGACCTGGCATTCATCAGCATCTGCACCGCCAGATGCTCAGTCGCTGGAAGGATTCTCATGGCGGCAAAGATCAGTGGAGAGACCAAGAACTCAATGAAGCCAACCTGAGAGAAGGGCCGGTTCACGGTGTTGCGGTCATTGAGCGCTTGGACTGGCACTCCGATTCTTGCTTCTGCATCGCCTTGCAGGAAGAACTCTTCCAAGACTTGCCAGGCCCAGATTCGACTGATGCGGAAGGGCTTCATCGAATTGGAGATGTCTGAAGTATGAAGGATCAGGTTCACCATCAGCTTCCGATTGTCGGGCACCCGCAAGGCATCGACCGCCTCTTGAGCCAGGCTTGGATCATCCTCTTGAAGGAAGAGCTGTCTCGATGCATCCCAAATGTCTGCACTCACCTCGTAGAGCATCTGCACGTCTTTGATCATGGAGAAATGCTGTGCATTGTCTGTGTGAAGAATCGCCTCCACACAGACCTTCCGAACCTCATGGTACTGTGTCTTCGACAAGGTCGAGAAAATGTTGCATCTGGCCTGGCCAACCAGCTCGAACATCCTTGAACAGTGCATGTTTTCGAGTGGCGATTTGTCATTGTAGCGCAGTGCTAGCTCATGCGATGTCTCTATGAGAAAGCCATTGTTGAGACCTGGATGGCCAATGTCATGGCATACCGCACTCACCAGCACCGCATACCTTTCTTCACGATTGAGGTAGACATCCGCAGCGCAAAGGCCCAGCAAGCGCCAGACTGCATGTGTACAATCCACAGCATGGAACCAATTGTGGTACGGGGCAGACTTCACATAGCCGCTCTCTGCATCACTCAGGAAGTTGCCCATGACCACCGAATCGAACTCCACGCCATGGTTGTGGGAGCTGCAGAAGTACATGGCTGCCACATGGTTCCTCGCTTTGTCCAACTCCAAAGGGTTGATGTTCCACGAGTCGAGGAGATCCATGGACAGCCCAGCATTTTCCACCATGGCACGCTGGGCCAATTCGATCGCCTCCATGTCGAGGACATTTTCCACTTCCTCTCCCCGGTCTGCGAACTCAGTATCCTGCGTGGTACCCTGGAAGCCAGAGATCACCGCACGATCGCCCTCAGCGAGATTCTGCAAGGTTTGTGCGTCCAAGACTGGCTTATTCATCGTGATCTCACTGATGACGGCCAACTTCTGCACGACCTTGGCCAGGAGTTGCGTCTCATTCCCAAATTTGTTGGTATCTTCCACACTCTCCTCCTGATCGGAACGGTCGTCATGGGCGTCCTCCTTCATGACCACCTCCATGTCGGTGACGGACTGGAAAATGGTGGATGCCATCTGTCGAACCTGCGTCAGAAGCTGCTCCAAAGGCTTTAGAACGATGTTGGAGACTGACTGCGAAAGGATCAGCGAGAAGGTGATCATCAAGACCATCACCAAGAGCAGCAGCACGACGTTCATCCACGCATCCAGCTGGTTTGGCGACGCGAAGTTGAACTCGACCTTCAAATAATTTCCAACAAACACCATGTTGTTGCTCATCCGCAAAGGTGTGAGCGCAGGAAATGTCCTAGGCAGCGCAGCTGCAACCTGCACTGGAGGCTGCACATCGTCCCTGGCAGAGATTCTCCATGGCTGGTAGGACTTCTGTGCATAGAAGGCTGTCAACTCATCCAGTTGAAGCGAAAACCGTGAAGGGTAGCGCACATAGCACGCCTCCAAAATCTTGACGAAGGAGTTTGGAGACCAGTCCTCCTCGGGATAGGCCCAAAGATTGAAGAGCGGCATGATAATCACCAGCAAAATGATGAGGCAGCTCGTTCTCGTCGACAAGGCGGTGATCAACTTGGATGAAATCAGTTTGGCAGTGCCAGCACCGTCGTCCACATTGCCCATGCCAGGCAGGAACCTCAACAACTTGGCCAGTTTGGTGAAGCGCCCAGCGCGAGCGCCCAACTTGGCCACGCGGGCCGCACGCATGATGATGGCATTGTTGGAGACGGTTTCAGTACCGACCTCCTGGTCGGACTGCATGACATACGAGAGGTCTAGCAGCAAAGAGCCAGCACCACACAAATCCATCCAAAAGAAGAAGGAGTACAAGTAACTCTTGTACATGCCAATGGATTGCACCAAAAGCTCGAAAATGAACATCACGCCCACCAAAGTCAGGAGCACATCCAGGTCGCTGTTGTTGGGTCGGTTGGTGATGACCCACATGTCCGGCAAGAAGAGCGCTAAAAGCAGCGCGACAAACATGGCAAGTTGAAAATACCTATTGTGAACAATGTGCCGGCAGTAGGGCGCCAGGGTCTTCCTTGCCTGGGCCAAGAAGGCTTCTATCTTGCCTTCTTTTCCCTCCATCTTTGCCGATTCTTCGGAGACTGAGATTGAGAGTGCCAGCTGTGGCGGATCTTCCACAGGTGGCAGCGGATTTTTCGGCCGACCTTGTGAGAACGCCTTTAGCGTCATTGGGCCAGCCCGTGGGCCCCGGACATCCTGGACTTGAGCTGGAGTCACATGAAACACCAATGTCTTCTACTGTGCATCTTGTGACCCCTGCTTGGAGCCAAATGGGCCACATGGGAGTCGCATGCAGTCACGCTCTTCTTTGAGCTTTTCACATCTTCAAACATCGGAGGGTTGATGAATCATGAATCAACAATAATTTCATCATGAAGATCTTCTGATGTTCATTAATCCCATGGCAGGGTAGAAGCTTTGGGGCTTCCAACGCTGCGAATCTCCGCCGAGCCGTCCGCGTTGATGACGCACTGGGAGTGCATTTTGACCTTGGGTTGTGGTGAGATTCAATTACAGGGTGGTCAATCATTGTGCAGGATATATTGATCCTAATTAGATATAACATCCAAGCTGGAATCATCTGGAATCTCTATATAATATATAATATATGTATAATTGACCGACAACTAGCACGCCTGGTCTTCTGCCACAAATATAGGGTATCCCCGGGTCAGTTGTTTTGATTTTGTGATGCAGGAGGACACATCCAAGCGTTTCTTACCGTGCAGCCGGGTCGGTCGCTCGTTCTTGGTCGCATGCTGAGGTCGCCCACGCCCTTCCAGCCTGGCTGCATCCATTCCCACCTCGGGAGGGGACGCCAACGATCCGCCGTGGTTCGTGTCAGGGACCGAAGGGGTTCCGCAACGTTGCCCCTCAAAGGAGTGAACACCGATGGCCCAACACGCCAGCCAAATAAGAAGAGCATCATGGATGAAGTAAATTAAGGAAGCTACTAGGAACAAGTGCATCGCTTCTAGTAACAAGTGCCTTACTACTAGGAACAAGAAGCTAGTAGAAACAAGAGCATCAAGGAAGAACCAAGCACCTTAACGATGACCGCACTAGAGGCCCAAGGCCAAGTCGTTTAGCACAGGATGAGAATATAAGCATCTAAGATCATCTAAGGCCTTACGATGCCCTTAGCCATCATCTTGGCCATGCCTTTTCCATCCATTTCCATCCACCGGCAATGGGTGATGTTTGAAGGAGGACCACAGCTGGGGCATCCACACTGCTTGTCACTGCTTTTCATGATCCAAGATTGCTAGGTCTGGCCCCTACAGTAGTGGCAAATAATTGGATGCTGGCACCATAAGTTCTGCAGTTCCATGAAATCGAAACTATTCACGCACCTCACACGCTCACAAAAAGGACAGCTCAGCTCCATAAGGCACCAGACGACTTCCAGTCATCCCAGTCGATCTTCATGGCATCCTGTTGTAGCTCGCCCGACATCGCCAAGCCATGAGAGATGGTCTGAAGTCCGGTCCCTTTGGAGGTCAGTATACTTGGGCTACCAAATATCTGTGATATTCCGTAATTCTTGGTTTTGGGTTCTGATTTTGAGGCACATCCTTGGGTTGGCTAAGGGCATTGATGACTACTATATTGCCGTGTTTCTAGTCGCTTGTTCCAAATATCCAATCCTCCAAGTATTGGAGTCTCGAGTGTGGATTCAAAGACGGCCAAGCCAGAAACACCCAGAACAATGAACGAAAGGCGTCTGACTGTGGATGAACACCTGCGCATGGCCTCCCCAAATCTGTATAAACATGTTGTTTTTGGATGTGTTTTCTCGCCTGCCTAACCACCAAGAACACTTTAAATGACCAAGAGACCTGCCATTGGGCTAGGGAAATCTCTCACATCTCCCATCCACACCTGCAAGTTTGGCAGCTGCCTTGGCTGCATGCGTGGTGGCAAGTCCTCGAACAAAAACAGCGATGTGAAAAACCTGATAGGCCCGCACTCTGCTAAGGTGTTCACAGGAGTTCTAAATAGAAAAACGTATGGAAAAGTATTGTTTTTCAGCGATTGCTGCACCTCCTTAACAAGTGGTACGATGAACAGGGAAAGCCATAAATAAGTAAAGCCCCGGCCCGACTGAAGTGGCCAAGACGCGCCGGGGGTCCTTGATATGGTTCAATGATTCAATTCTCACTTGACGCTTTGTGTGGTTCCAATACTTGTCGATCTCGCATAGCTTGCGAAGAGTGGATGCTTTGTTGAAAGTTTGACAAACATCTTCTCTAAACACCTAGACTCCTGGCGCGTGTCCTGCTGTGGATGCTTGAGAGGGTCAACCAGTCTTTCAAATTCTGCATGGTATTGTGCTTACCCACAAACAAAAACTAGGTCACGTCGGTCGGAACGACCCCGCGCGCATCATTTATTACACTACAAGGTTGCGCTGTTGTCCCGTTTACAATGGGATTGTCAGATGAAAATGGGTTCCCACTGCAAAAACAACGGGGAATCTCCGCCAGCCGCCCGAGTTCTTGTAAGTTAAACACCGCGTCAACTCTTTCCTCATTAACGTACATCTTCTGAACGTCATTGAACGTCCAACCTTTCCTCCTTTAGACGCAAGCGTAAACACTTTCCTCGAGGGCCCTAAAGAGAAACCTACACACTTTCTTCATTGACAGTAGGAAGGAACGTCAACCACACTTTCTTCATGTTTCATGACACACGCAGATCGTCAGTCTTCTAACAACAGAATGCATTAGATACCCAGCATTATTACCCTCAGCCCATCCCCACCCCCCACAAAAAAAAGTGACTGGGAAAATATGCACTGACATGAATTCAACCGGCCACTAGGGAGAATGCTGTTGCTATAAGGGAAAACCGCTAAACCCCCCAGGATCCTCCAGGGTTGTTATAGCTGGCAAAGGGAGGAGTTCAACTCTCCTTCGTCGGCACGTTATAGAACTCCTGGTGGAGCTTGTCCTAGCAGTGTGGAAGCGTGTCACACTTGGTGCCGCTGCGACACGCCCGGTGAAAAGCACCTGGTGTCAGTGGTCCGGGGGAACCTCCAAAGCAGCGATTTGTCAAAGAATACAACTTTTATTCTTTGACAAATCGCTGCTTTTAAAGGCTTCAATTCATGTTTCAACGCTGGAGACCAATCTCATCCAATCTCCCTGTTTTGTGGTTTGATAGACGCAAGTCTGGCCGCGGACCTCTGCAAGTGCTGGACTCGGACCAGGAGTTTCAACCTGGTGTTTCTTAGGTATGACAACAACAATTGCTATTCGTTGTCCTTTCCAGGGTCATGTGAGTCATATGGTTGTAAGGCTCGTGCTTCGGCATCCGATATGAAGATTCCTGGTTTGTGAAGACTGTAAGGATTTCCCCCCAATGTCCTGCAGCCTCAGCTCACAGTGCGAAGAGTCTTTGGGTCAGAACATTCATCTTCAAACTTTCAGGAGAGGTATCCAACTCAACATGTTTCTCGCACTAAAAGCGATACTGGCTTGCTGGCGGCAGCTGACTCACGACCGTTAATTTGACGTGTCTCTACGGGCCGACGCCCCAGTAGTGAGTTGCCGTCACCATTCAGCCCTTGATGCCCTTGCTCTATTCCGGCGCACGGGGCGGCGGCTTGCACTTTGTACATGCTCGAGCGGGAGAAAAAAAGACATGCACCAATGCCAAATGGTGGGTGTTTGCCTTGGCCTACAGCCACTCATCTAAAAACAACTTCAATATAGCGTAGGCCAACAACGCAGAAGCAAACTAAAGCATGCGGAATGATCCGGAACAGTCAATTCTAGTGGTGACCATGGATCCCCTTTAGATTTTTTGGGGTATACATTTTGTAAGAAAGGCGTGTATTAAATGTCTGTCCCCCTGGAAGTTCATACATAATTGTTGGTTGTCAGGTTTTTTTGTTACAACATGATAGTTCTGCACCCCCTCTTAAAAAACACTACTACAAAATGAGGTTCCAGGGATGCTAAAGCAAACCCTCCCTCCAAGACTCGGTGTACGCAAGTGTTAGTTCAACACCTGGTGTACCCCAGTGTTGGTTCTAACAACTGTTCCAAAACTAGATGAGTCCAACTTTTGGAATTGGTTTTAACCAACACTTTGGTTGGGCACACCATGTCTTAGTTTAACAAAATGTTCCAAAACTTGGTTAGTCCAAGTTTTGTTTTATACACATGCCCTTTGCAGGGCTAATCTGCTACGCACAGGTTCCTATTTATGTTTTGTTTTTCCCCTGGCTCGCTGAGTCACCTCTACAACATGATATGCCCCCCTCAAAATGTCGCCAGCTTTCTCTAAAGGAGACAAGGCCATGGACCCCTATCCCCTATAGAATGACCACGGTAACCACCCCATAAAAAAGAAACATATTGTAAAATTACTCTATATATATGTTATACAGTACATGTAGAATACCAAGCTGTAAGGTACCCAAGATCCAAGATCACGCATTCTATAGGGGAAATGTTAATGGAGATGACCATGGTGCGTTTGGTCCATTAACTTTATATGTTTCAACATGTTGCTGTGGGTCAAAACGAGGAGACCTTGGTTGACCTACCGACGGAACTTGCGCATCCAATCCAAACGCAGCCCATGGGCCCTTCACCGTATTGGTGGGCCTTACCTGCAAGGTCAACCTACATGGTGGACCCGGACTCGAATTTTTGACCCATCCCCATGTGAATTCAACCGGTCTCTCCTCGCATGCGCTTTTGTAATTCTTATATCTGCTATGGGATGTGTCCACCATGTATCAACTTCTGAAGGTTGACAATTTTGCCAGATTTCTGTCGAACGTTCTTCAAGGAAGCAAACTCAGGGTCATTAGTAAGAGTCACCAGCGACACAATCTTTGATCATTGTGACACGGCTTCAGTGTTGCTCCAACCCATGCAGAATCCGCAATAATCATACAGTAAGTAGGTCTGGTATGGTCTGGTATGGTTTGCTCCATCAACAGTCCGATGGTAGGGGGATACTAGTAGCAAGAAGCTAGTGGGTTGGAGGCCATCGCTACCCCATGAAATTCTTCCCCAGCTTGAGCGAAGGTGACACTCTGCGGCATCATCAAAGGCCTGGAAAAAAACACGGAGCCAGGCATGTCTTTTTGCGTTGCTTCAGTTTAGACATTTGTAATGTATATACATACGTACGTAATTATACATAAATAAACAAATACATAGTAGATGTCAAGATACCTGTCAGCCATCTATATAATCATAAATGATCCAGATTCCATGGATCCTATATAAATCCTGCCTGATATGGATCCGACTCCAGGTGTTTTTGACTCTCCAGGTGTTCCGCGAGTCTCAGTGGAAGGGGCGGGTCCAACGCCGTCTCCTGCGAGGGAGATTGGAATCCTTGGATTTCTGTCCCACAAAAGGACTTGACCTAAAATTGCATAGCAATGCACCAGTTTGGACATTTCTAAAAAAGGTTCCTCTTGTAAACATATGAAAACATATGAAACAAGGTTCCTCTTGTAAAGGTGAGTGTTCTGGCCCAGCGGATCCACTAATGAACATCTGAAGGTTTGCCAGTACTTGAGATATGCAAATTGAGGGGGCCACTGCAGTGTATCTTGGAGCTTGTTTAAACCTCTTGATTTAGATGGCCCCATGCCACAGTGGCGAAGTTGGAGTGATTCTGAGAGTGATCTCGCTTGGAGAGTGACATGTTGTTTGGTCATAGACCGAACATGTCAGTTTGCGTGGGCAAATCCATCTTGTTGCGCAGCTGACTCCGTTCCCGCGGAAGAATACGTGTACTGTCTATCTACTGTATCTATCTACCTATCTACCTATCTACCTATCTACCTATCTATCCATCCATCCATCCATCCATCCATCCAATCCATCCATCCAATCGAGATATCTATCTATCTATCCTATGTAGGCACTATTCTGCTGTCTTGTGATTCCATACTTTGAGGGCTGAGTATTTGTGACAATCCAATATGCAGGAATGAACTATATTCTGAACTATACAACTCCTATGGTTTTCACAAGGCCTCTCGGCTGAGCAGCTTTGGTTTTCCTTATTCCTTATACTAAGCTCCTAAATGCAAACAAACTCGCACCAACCCACACTCGGTGAATAGTCAAACACACATCAAATTCCAAACAATTGTCCTCGGTTGGTTTTGGTTGCTAAACGCCAGTTTTACATAGTGACACAGTGGATCTCAACAACTGTGTCCGTGTGCTGAACTTTCAATGTTTGCTGCAACAAAACTCACAAAACCAACTCCACAAGATTCTTCGGGTCCTGAGAAGGTTCAAACCCTGGTGTTGGCTCCAATCTGGTTGGCTCCAAGCCATGCCGTAGACCTTGGAACACGGAGTGAGACATCCTCCAAATCCGAGGTATTAGTTGTTGAAACGTGCAGAGGCAAACAACATCCACCAATCCTGATTAAATTGCCAAAACCCAAGGACTGCATATTCCACGTCATCACCATACTGACATTATAATACTGTATTAAAAATATACTGATCCTCATCCACAGCAATCAACTATACACACAATCACAAACACAAACAACTTTTATGATCATCCATCCTCATGCTGACTGTTGATTAATTAATATACAACCCCCCGGCCTGGATGGTCAACCATCTCCATGACTCCATTTGGATTTTTGACCAACCAACCGTCATCTGAACGACACCCTCCGCGGCAACACCCTGGTACCAAGCACGTGGCCCAGCCCTGTTTGTCCGTGACCTTGTCGATCACCTGGCGCGTATCGGAACGCCGGTCGGCGATCAGCGCAAATTCGTCTGTTTCCGAGGTTCCAACTGGGGGAGAAGGCTGAGCAGTCGATTTCACCCACATGCAATGTCTGGGGATTGCACCGATTAGTTTCAGGAGCCGCCGGCATTGACATTTAGTATAATTTCGTCCTTCTGTCGCTTCTGCTTGGGTGTTGAAAAACACGTGTGGAACAATCAAGTTCAGAAACACACTAGAGTTTGAACTGTCCACCGTTGCTTCTCGTGAAAAAGACCCTCCGCTCCTCAAAGCTCCAAGGGCCTGCGGCCTTGCGACAGTCGAGGTGGACATGAGTCGACGTTGACGACAACAGAAAGAGAAAGAGAGAGAGAGAGGACTTCACCTGCAGTTTAAAGAGACCGGCGGTATTCACCCAGCAAGCGCTGAAAGATGCTAAAGGGTTTGGTCAAAGGATCTTTCATGTTTTCCCTTGAACAGCCACCAGGATGTTTTCTGATGAACAAACAATTCATCATAAAATCTCATAGACCGAGAACTTTCAAGAACCACTTGGACGTTGTTTTGTTTGTTTTTGCGACACCGCTGGAGACGTCCACACGAACCCCAGCCACAGTACCGCTTCCCCGGGCAAACCCACTTTCACCCCAAACAGTCTGAGACCAGCACTGGCCTCCACCCTAGTAGCGATGGCCTCCACCCTAGAAGCTGGCCTGGCCTTGTAGAGTCCGCCCAATTGGCAAGGAGGTTCCTGAAAAAAAATTTCCGCTTCACTGTGGCCTATCTCGTAAGTTTTCACAGGCAAACTGCAAGTGATGATGCAGAGTCCTTCTTTGCAGGACTTCAGTCCATTGTGCAAGGGATTTTATTCAATCATGATGGCAAAAGCTAAAGAGCCTTGAACATACCTTGTTTCCGGATATTCCGCTTCATCAACTTCAACACTGCGTCACCTTGGAGCGCCCCTTAAATCTGGAAAACATAAACACTTTTGCGCAGTAACCTCAGTGTTGTTCCAAAAACGGATCGTTTGGGTTACACCTACATTATAAAACTAAACAATCAAAAATATAGCAGCGTAGACTAGACCCCAAACAGTTCATTTATGAAGTAAGCCACAGGGACGAACTGTCAAACAGTCAACGGCTCGAACCGTTCCAGCTCGCGGTGATCAACTCGGACCTTCTGGGTTTGTTTGAGCCCTGCTCAAGGTCAGGACCGGCAATTCAAACGAAAACAGAACATACGCTAATCTACTGAATATGCTGAGTTGTACTGACATGTGGCTTTGTCACGTTTTGTTTTGGTCAAAAGATATTAACAGCCTTCAACCCACCATGATTGTGTGACAAAGGTTGTAATCAGTTTGGCGATGGTCCTGCCAAGAGTATCTAAGCAGGGAGCCAAGCAAAGAGACAAGCGGAGACAAGTTTAAAATCATGCGGCCAAGTGTATCCGGAGTAGGCCGAAACAAGTGGGAGACAAGTGGAGACAGATGGGAAGCGAGTGTAAAAGCATCCGGCCAAGAGTATCTAAGCAGGGAGACAAGCAAAGAGGCAAGTGGAGACAAGGGTAAAAACACCCGGCCAAGCGTATTGAGAGTAGGCCGAGACAAGTCGGAGACAAGTGCAACGAGTACCTAACCAGGGGACAAGCAAAGACAAGTGTAAAAACATCCGGCCAGGTGTTTCTAGAGGTAGTCCGAGCATCTGGCCAAGAGTGTCCAGGCAGGGAGACAAGCAAAGAGGCAAGTGGAGACAAGTGCCAAGACATACGGCCAAGCGTATCCAGAGTATGCCGAGACAAGTGGAGACACGCATAACAAGAAGGGAGATACGCAAGGGAACAAATGTAAAATCATCCGGCCGAGAGTATCCAAGCAAGGAGACAAGCAAAGAGACAAGTGGAGACAAGCGGCCAATTCACCCACAGCGACTGCCAGAGCACCCGCAACAAAACTGGAGACCATGGGAGACAAGTGTAAAATCATGCGGCCACAGCAACCACAGTGCGGCAGGAACGCAAGCCTGGAGACAAATGTAAAATCATGCGGCCCAGTCATGCATCCAGTAAGAAGGACAATGCAAGGAACAATGGCAAACATGTTGGGGAATCCAAACAACACTCCGGCTAAATGTGATGGTGTCCCCTATTGCCACAAAGTTGTCTACTACAGTATACTAGAGGCCTTACAACCAATGTTGAACCTTAAAGGATAAAATCAATAAGCCCCAATCAGAAACTATATGAACGTTGCTGGCCAAAGCAATGCATGCCATCATGTGCTGTGTTTCACAGCCAATCGTCACTCGCCCCTCCTCTGCCTTTGTTGCTTGCTTTTGGGTCAGCCTCTCATCCACCTGCAACGGTGCCCCGTGTCGATGCCCTGTCAGGCCTCTTCAGATAGGCCCATGAGTGGTTGTCCAGGTTGGTTGACTCGTCCCCCACCGTTTAAAAGTGACCCGTGTTGCCCTTGAAATGAAGACTAACTCCCCAAACAGTGTGGTTGGGTTCAGGCTGGGTTTGATAAAGGGAACTCTTCAAGGTGCATTTCGACTGCGCAGGCTGGCACATGACCGCGTGCATGTGAGAGCACGGGTATGAGAGAGCACACAGATGAGAGCACAAAGGCGAGAGCACGTGTGCGTGGCGGTGCACAAAGTGCTGGGCGGACGATATCTGCACTTCGAGTTGAGGGCGCCTGAAATTTGCTTGAAGGTCCACAATGCTGCACATGCATCGATGGTGGCCTCAAAGTCAAAATCCACATTCGACGATCAAAAAGCGCTGCGGCTGAACGAAAATCTCAACTTGGAAGTGGTGGGCTTGGCGCGAATCTACAGTTGGCGGTGCACAAAATGCAGCGTTTGCCATGAAATCTGCACTTCAAGGATCACAAAGGGCCGCGGGTGCCACGGAAGCTGCATAAGTTGGCATATCATGATTCACATCCCGCAGCGCTGCCAGTGCGTCTTACAACAAAAGCCTTCCAAACCTGCGCCTGTCATGCATCAAAGACCGCCACCAAGACCACATGCCACGAAACCTGCACTTCAAAGTAAAACAGCTCGGATCTCTTGCGTGTGCCATGACAAGTAACCACCAAAGCCAGAATGCACACGGCACCACACTGAGACATGATGACATGCAGTCGAGGAAAGCACCCGTGCCCTCCACGTTTATGTTCTGTTATGTGCTTTCCTGTGCCCTCGAATGTTCTTGCTCACACATGTGTGCTTTCATATGTGTGCTCTCATTGTTTGTGCTCTCACCTGTGTGCTGTTTTACGTGTGCTCTCTCAACCTTCCCAATGGCTGATGAAGCTGTCATCTCAGAACACCCTGGTGTTGAGGGCAGCTTCAGAAACTCGAGCGAGTCCGAAAAAATAGGCCACGTGCGATAGTCCTGTACGGTGACTTGCTGGGGACCCTCCTTGTGGTTGCATATGCAATCATACGCATGTGGGCGGGATTGTTCAAGGACCTTTGCAGGTTGTGCGAGCCGTCAAGTCTGGAGATGACCCTACGATATACTCTACTGATTTGAACATCCATGATGTGAACATTTTCACGGCTTGAACATCCATGGGTTGTTATGACCCGACTGATCTCATCAGATTGATGCGAAAATCCACATCTCTGGATGGATCCAATTAGTGCCTATCGAAGAGGGACGGCAGTTTAACATAGTCTAACTCACTGGCACAGACCAATGGGCGAGGGATCAACAAAAAACAAAAGGAATTAATATGTTATATACATATATATATAGCAGGGGATCAATGACAAACTAAAATGAATCAAAGAATAGAAATAAACGGATCCAAACGTGCAGAGGGAAGAGCAATATTCCATTCGAAGCAGTGATCAAAAATAATCACAAAAGCGAAAAAAACAGGAAACCAAATGAAATGACATGAAAATTGAAGAGAGTACGACGCCCTGGAGGTGTGTGTCTTTTCAGTGTTTTTTTGGATTTTCTATGTTTTCGTTGCATTCACCCATCTGGTACACATCACTTGTGCCCATAGCCTGCTGCCCCTTTGCCATGATCTTATCAACAGATTTCCTCATCAAGCTTCTAAACACATAGCTAAAGTCTGTATCTGTCAATTGCATCATAGCTGTCATCTTTGGAGGAATGATAGACTGTAGCTGATGGGCTGCATACATCATCTTGTATGTATCATTGCTAAATGAAGCGGCAAAGCAATCCCTCTGATAGATGGATACTGGATACATCCTCCCTTGCTTTGCAATGACCCATGACATAATGATATTGTCCTGATTGGAGGATGGTTGGGAATAAACATCATAGTGCTCCAACAAATGAGGATGACCCCTTCTGATCTTGACCCATTGCTCCAATGCCCTCCTGGCACTCTCTCCCTTCCTATGCAGCTTGATGTCTCCCAAATAGTTAAATGATTCATCCTCAATCCACCTGCCTTTGTCATCAATGTTGTCCAATCTTGCATGTTGCCCAGATACTATGAGCGCCCCCTTGCCCACATGTCCAATGGGGTCCTCATCAGGGTTGAAGAAATTGCTCACCAGCTGATGGGCCTCAAAGGTAATCCTCATCTTCTCAGTTGCTGCGTCCGTCATGATAGTCAAATGAGCTCTTCCCCCACCCTTTTGATCCTCACTACTCACCAATTGCCAATCTTGCTTCTTCTGATCATCCAATGCCTCAAGGTCCTCATTGGGTTCCTGTCTCATGGGCTTGTTGGTTCAGCTCATCTTGAAGGTCCCTCCTAATCGTTTTGATGGTCTTCTCATGTGTCTTGGTCTCATGGCCGAACCTGATCTGAGAATCCAAGCATACATTCAGGCTTTGCCACAAATTCCTTCAGATCTTCATGCCCCATGGACACAAGGCTCATGATATAGTCATGGTGGTTCCATGCCAATTCTGCTGAAATCTGCTGCTCCTCATTGCTCAAGGGCGCCAACGCATTTGGAGTCATATGTTTGGCACCAATAGCATCCAGAAGCATCTTGGCACTCTTTTCCCTTTGCTTATACCCCTCTTTGACGCTCTTCATTTGAGATTCAGCCCTTTCCAATTGATTGATACAAAGAATCTTCTGGGGCCCATCTTCCAGCTCATCCCTTTTCTCCTCAAGCTTGACTTTCTCCACTGACAGCAGCTGAAAATTTTTCCATACAAGATCCATCTTCTGCACCCCATGCCCGTAACTCCTTTCCCTTTCCAACCATGTCTTAACCTCACCAACCAAGTGGGGGAATTGTTGCTTGGCACCCCCACCTGATGCCCTGACTCTCATGTGGTTCCCACCTGATGCTTTCTTCCCTTTGCTCAATCCACTTCTTTGCGTTCTCTCATCTGCTGTTGTGCTTTGCTGATGCTTCAGAATCTCTGTCTCCCATTTGGACCTTTCAGCATAAATCCCCTTCAACACATGAGGTCTCATCAGGATTGTCCTATTCCATTTCCTTGCGCATTTTCCTTTCTGATTCTTCAGTATGCTCTCCGTTTCGGGGGGGGGGGTCGACAAAAAATAAAAATAGAAATAATTTGTGCTGCCTCAAATCAAGGCCACATTTCTTTTTGTCGACCCCCCCCCTCTGGGAAACTCTGTGCGGTCCAGGTCCGCGACGCTGGCGACATTGCGATGTCTATGCGATGTCTGCTACTGTGATGTGGCGCGTGATGTGACAGTATCCTCCTACATTTTATCCTTAAATAAGAATACCTCCAGCGCATAGATAGTAAATTCGTAAGAAGACTAGAGCACTGGGAAAACAGACTCCTCCACAACGTCGTGTTCTGAAATTGAAATGAAATGAATGAAATGAAGTGAAGTGGACATGAAAATGAATTTAAAATGAGAAGAAAAGACATGAAATAAAAATATATAAGTGAAAAATAGAACCAATATAGCTAAGTCGCAAAATGGAATTGCTAGTCTAGAAAGCTATACCCGAAACTGTTTCTACGCTCGAAAATTAAAAGCGGGAGGGGGCGCGGGGGAGGGCGCATTGCTTCCCGCAATGTAACTTGGTACGGCAAAAAACAATTATCATGGAGTTTCCTCAATGAATCTTCCTTTGATAGCTGCAATGGTCTCTGCGCTGGGCATCTGAGCAAAGCGTTGCACCATCGCATTTCAATTTCACAGTGGAAACCACAATGGTCAGGCTCTGGCTCTCTCATTTGTCGGTCGGTCACTGGGAAGAAAGCGCGCATGTACCTTCCCTCCTTCCTTCCTTTCTTCGTTTCTTTCAATTTTTTTGCTGATGTGTTTGTTTTGATACATTTTTATTCATTGTTTTTATTTGTTTGTTGATGCCCCAAACCAACGCACAACTTGCACTGGACAGTTTAAAAGCAACGTATGCAAACTGTCTATTCCCTGCACTGACTAGTCTAACCGGACGCTGCTGAAACCACAACAGGACGCTGTCACATGTGTGCTCTCATGTGTGGTTTTCACAAAAGTGCGACTCATGTGTGTGTGACCCTTGAAGTCACAGGGATCCTTTTTGGAATGTACTGCCGTTGATAGCATGGGGACACAGCATTTCACTGGGACTGTGTCCAACGAAGCTACCAGTGAAATGGGATATCCAGCTTGGCCAGCTGGACGTACCTGCAACAATTTTTAAGTTTCCGTAATGGGCTAATGCACTCGGCAGACAAGAGCGTACGTCGTCATCCTGTCGGCTTGTCGCATCGTGGAGTTTGACTTCTGGCCTTTAACTAAAGGCGCGCAGTCCCCCTCACCTGGTTTTTCAGGATTTGGTTCCTTAGGCTGGCGTGTGGCACCGCTGTCAAGTCAGTACGCATAATCATAAGTGTGCCTCTCCTAGTGAGAGCCCAGGGTGACCCCGAAGAGTGGCCCCTGTGGACCCGTCGAACGGGTGTTGCCCGGAGATGTACGTGCCCAGAGCGGGCGAAGGTGGCCTGGCCTGGGCCGAGAGAATTCAGATTTCTGTCGAATTCTTGAATTCCAAGCTGGCTCATGCCCTTACGTGACCGCAGCGGTCCAAGCTGGCTTAGTGCCTCAACGTGGTCAGAGCGACCAAAGCTTTTTTGAGGTTCGTTGGAACCTGTCGGGACCTTAGTCCCCTTCCTCCCCCTCCCCTCCCCTTCCTCTCTCTTCGCCTTTTTTGGGGTATTCCTGAATGTAACACTCAGGTATACCCCTCTCCTTGGTGTGTCCCTGGACGCTTGCGCGTAGCTGGGAGCACCTGTTTTCGTTCCCTCTTTCTCTGTCTCTCTCTCTCTCTCTCTCCCTCTCTCTCTCTATTTTTCTCTTTCTCTCTTTTTCTTTTTCCTTTCTCCCTCTTCCTTCTTTTTTTGGGGGGTGTCCCTGGATGCTTTCGTCATAGCTGGGAACCCTTCTCTTCTTCTCTTGGTGTGTCCTTGGACGCTTGTGTCGTAGCTGGGAACACCTTCTTTTCCTTCCTTTCTTCTTTTTCTTTCTTCTCTTCTCTCCCTACCCCTCCCTCCTGTCGGGACCTTAGAGTGGGACGCTACTAGGGGCTCCTGGCCTTACTACTAGGTGCAAGGGCGCTACTACTCCCCTCGGGGAGGCGTGTGTGTGTGTGACCCTTGAAGTCACAGGGATCCTTTTTGGAATGTACTGCCGTTGATAGCATGGGGACACAGCATTTCACTGGGACTGTGTCCAACGAAGCTACCAGTGAAATGGGATATCCAGCTTGGCCAGCTGGACGTACCTGCAACAATTTTTAAGTTTCCGTAATGGGCTAATGCACTCGGCAGACAAGAGCGTACGTCGTCATCCTGTCGGCTTGTCGCATCGTGGAGTTTGACTTCTGGCCTTTAACTAAAGGCGCGCAGTCCCCCTCACCTGGTTTTTCAGGATTTGGTTCCTTAGGCTGGCGTGTGGCACCGCTGTCAAGTCAGTACGCATAATCATAAGTGTGTGCATGTGCGCTCCAGAGTGCGGAAGTTCGCTTGTTTCCCCTTGTTTTGTTCTACTTAACACAGTTTGGTGGATAGCATGTTTAGAAAAAATTAAGCCCAAGTGGGAGAAAACAAATGGCTCAAAGTCTTAGACGACTGGCGACTTCAATCACCTGTGACAGTTCTCAAAGTGCCAGCAGATTCAAAGACTTTGGCTGGTCTACAAGACAAGGCCATGATTGAAAGGCCATGAGAAGCAAGTAAATCCATCGTGGCTCATGGCGGTTGGACTCGCTTTATGTGAGCAAAACTGAGTACCTTGCCCGCTGACATCAGTACAAGTGCCCACAAGTCTCTCTGAACAGTGGGTGGGCTTGTCACCTGAGTGACCCCGGAACTGGCCTGTGGATGCTTCCTGCCGTTCTCCTGCACCCAACGCCACTGAAGCTCTCCATCTGTCGGCCAATTGCAGGTGCCTGCAAATCTGCCATTGTGTGGAAGTCATGGAAAGCTAGAGCGGATGAAGACTTGAAAAGACTGGAAACAAGCGATTCCACCGATCAAAATTGAAGCAAACACACCTCTCTCATCATGAGACATTTCTTTTGAACCAAGAATTCAATTGTGAAGTTCCATAGAACAACAACTTCGGCATGTAAATATGCTACCTGCCACATGGTTTGGTCTTAAAAAGAAAAACAGCCACACAGCAAACGGTGCAACCACCTTCTTTTTTCCACGCTACCCCCGTTGGATAGAAAAGTGAAGCCGCTTTGAACATGCCTTGGACACCGTTTCAAGCGATTTACAGTACTATGATTTACTCATTGGGGTTCTATGGATCGGTGACCAACGGGGGATGAGATCCAGCCAGAACGCCACAACAAAACTGCAGCAGAAGAAATTGATTGTGCAAGATAAATCCGCATGGACTCTGTAAACAGGATACCTTGTGTAGATCTTGAGATGACCCAACAGCTAGCTCATGCTAGCTCTCTTCCCATTTCTGTCATCTCCCACGACCAGAACGCACAACGGATCACAACGGGGCGGTCCCGGAATGCCACTCTGAGCCCCCTCGCCCCATCCGAAGCCCAAGGTGAAGCGCTCCACCTCGAAGACCTCCAAGCGCCTCTCCGTCGGGGTTCTTTGGCCCGAACTGGGAGCTGGGTGCTGAAAGAAGCCCCTTCAGCAGTCGACTTGAAGTGAGGCTCTAATCCCCAACTGGTCCACCGAAGCTGGTTGGAACGCAGTTGCTCTTTTGCATGTTTGCCATGTGTCTCCAATGCCTGACTTGTTTTTGAGAGATCTTCACCAAGTTTTTGCTCTTGAGAAACATCCATGCACTCGGTACTTTGGCTGTGGCCACACTTGGTTGAAGAAAGTCTTATGGGGGCTACACCGGGGCGGGTTACTTTTCTATCTTCTGTGTGTCAAACGTGACTATTTGATGCTATCCTTTATTTGTCAACTGTAGCTTGTTGTTAAATGTAGCTATTTGGTGCTATTTGCACTGCGAATCTCCTCATGTAGAGTTGCTGGAAACATGTCCATGTATGGCAGTGGTTCCATCGACCACTCCTACCAGCTCTGGCGATCGAAACCCGACCCTCCCAAAGCCCCACTCGGAGCCTGATGCGAGCGGCACCCCGGTCGCTCATCCGAGCCTCAGAGGCTCTGGGGTAACTAACACCTTTATCCTTTATCACACGTTCAATATCCTTTACCGGATCCTGGTCCTATACCCTGTCACGACTCTTGGCTCAATTCCAAAATGTTTTATAATACATGCTTCTTTGTAGAGGTTTGCCAAACAGGCCTTTGGGATTTCAGTCAGGAGTTCTGAAGAGGCTGCGTCAAGACCGCTTCTACAAGCCGACCGCGCAAAGGCATGGAAGTGGAGTCGGCTGTGGGCTGGAGGGTCTCGAGCTCCGACACATCACACGTCATTGGGCAAAGGGCATCGCTGCTAGAAACAAGAAGCTACTAGGGGCTCCTGGCATCGCTACTAGGAGCAAGGACCGCTACGGAGCTTTTGTGGGCAATCTTCGAGACATCAAGGATGCTTGTTCAAGACTTGTCTGTGGTTGGGGGGGAAAGCGACTTGACCTCAGGAATTTGAAGAGGTGCTGGTTGGACACTGAGGCCCCCGGGCACCTCTTAACACCCAAATACCACAAAGTTGACACAAAGGTCAGGCTACGACTTTGGGATGGATGACAGGCTCCCCAAACACCATCCCACGTCAAAGTGGGTCAACACCAGTATCTCTATAAACACTGAACCACATTGTTTGAAGGTAGCAATATGTAGCAATGGTGGGATGGTGACAATGGTTCATAGCAATGGTGGGATGCTGACACACACACAAATAGCAAATCTTCGCTTCTCCTTGGTGTGTGTATAGGTAACCACTGGTGGGTTATAAGTCTACCCAGTACCGACCTGAGATGAGATCAGGTTTTCCGTGAAGTGATTCGGGTCATGGATCCGCCAGTATAAACATCCAAGTGGATCAGGAAAAAGACAAAAAAACAAACTGTAATCGGTTAGTACTATGGATATCCTTTGAGTCCTTCGACCCACCACCCAAAGGAATTTCAAAGGGCACATTCCAACAGAGCGTCCTTCCTCCTTGGCCTCAATTCCAAGTCAGGCCACCGCATCCGTCTCGATCATCTTCAGTCCTGTCTCTGCTGCCATCTTCATATCCCGCACCCGCGCCAGATCTGGGATGAATGCAGGCTCGAGTACATAGGCGAAAGACGAGATGCATGCTACGATTTATGTTTTGGCCGTAGATGATTTCGGGATGGTGCGAGGGGATCTCACTGAACCATGAGCTCTCACCAAAGATTGTATTTTGTCGGGCGTTATGCAACAGGTTGTGACAAGCTGCTTTTACGGTACTCTGACAGGTACACCTCCCAAGATTACTTGGCACCTCCAAAAGCCAGAGGATAAAGAACCAGCCTTTGGTCTTTCAATGTCTTTCATGTTGCTCTTCAGGTGCTTTTCAATCAAGTAACGTTCAATCGCTGTCACATTATTTGACCATGAACTGCAAAGACTTCTTCAATGAACTCAGCGGCTAACAGTCTCGTCTTGCGAAGCCCGTCCTACACCGGCGAGTTGGCTGCGAAACCGAAGGTCACTACTAGTAGACTCTAGACCAAGATCTTCATCCAACCTGGCATTCTGTGTATGTTTCCTGATTCAAGACGCGTATTTTAGTGGGCATACACTGAATCTCTTTGAGTTTGTTCATCCCTCTTTAGGCTTAAAAACAAAAAACGTCCTCGGAGTTGGACGGAAGAACATGAGGATAGGAGGCCGTTTCAAACCGTTCACAGCAAGAGCCAATGCAAATGGGCAGGACATGGAACAACATGATTGAACTGGATAGGTCCATCCTGAAGAATCTCTGTGTTTATCTCCAACATGAGAAACATGAGACGACCCTCTGACTTTCCGAACCCCTGTTGCATCGGACTCGCACGTGAACTCGCCCGAACCAAACCCAGCGACGTTCGTCGTTGCGGAGGGCCGCTCTCAGCTCGGCCCAGCTGCGGTTCGCCTGGGAAGAAGTTTTGGGTGACAGTGATGTGATGTGGGTGAAGTGTCCAAACCGAACAAACAAGAGGAACCGCCAGATGTAACCAATCGGTAGCCGAAAGAACTCTTTGAAGAACTCTGGAACCAACACGAACCAAACATATCCAAACAAGACCTGGCGCTTGAGAACATGTCTACTGAAGTCTATTGGGCCAACCGTCGTCAAACTACACACAGGTTTGTCTCACCAATCTTCACATGAAGGAACACCGCAATGCTCCCGCTTGGGACAAAATCAGTTACTAGGAGCTAATGCACTTGTTACTGGTAGTACGGCCAGGAGCACCTAAGAGCGTGCTTGCTCCTAGTAGCGATGCCAGGAGCCCCTAGTAGCTTCTTGTTACTAGTAACGATGCACTTGTTACTAGTTGTCAAACGGCATGCACCCCAACATCCATGACGGTTTTCCACAGCACGTCGGCAGGGCGGGAAGAAACTTTGAGCTCCTCTGTCCAAATTTGCATCTTCAGTGTGTGTCAGGTGATCTATGAATCTATGACCAAGGAAGTCCATCAATCACCGCAAGAGCCAAAAACCGCTGCTCAATCAAAGCTGCCAGTGGACAGAGTTATGTTTATCTTTGGGACTTTCGCTGCCATGCACCGTGGTGTAGTAGTGGAAAATGCCAGAACCCTTAAAGACACAGACACAGACACATGGAATAAATACGTATATATATGTATATGTTTTTACTGGTCTCTCCACATCACTCAAAGCGGGGAATCTTCCTTCCACCCAATCCCCGCTGCGCATGCTGTCTGCCATGGTGCTTGGAGGCGCCCATCGATGGCCATCTGCAAACCTTCCCGCAACGCCTCTCGAGCGCCCTCTTGGAGGCCAGCCTGGCGACTGAGAGCGACCTGGTCTCCATTCCACGAGGTTTGAAGAATGGAGACGCACGAGGGTCCCATCACCGCCCAAATTCTCCAACATGCGGTCCGTTCAACAGGCCGGAATGAAATGGAAGTGGATGCCATGGTCCCTTGGATGAGCATCTTCCGAATACCCAACAGGTGGCTATTTCGTCAAGTGTACCCCTTTGCCGGAGTATCAAAGAACAAATTACTGGGTGGCTGTTTGCAAGTTGCAAAAGTTGCTTTTGAAAGTTTGTGTATATAGTCTTTTTGTGGTCAATGACACTTAAAAAATCCAGAAAAGTCCGGAAAGATATAATTTTTTTAAAACTTAAAGTGAAAGGTTTGGGAGCTCCGGTGGTTTAATTACATCATTGTCTTAGACTGTCATTGTCACGAAAACCAAATTGCTCTTTTTCTCAGTGGACAGAGCACTCCACAGATCACTATGTCTGTCTATTCCACTTGGTACTCAAGTCACTCCTCTTTGTCATCATTGTCATGCATCATTGTCATGCATCATTGTCATGTATGTGTTCGGTCAGGTGACTTGAGTACCAAAAGGCTGAGCCTAGGCAAAGGGCAAATTCCGGCAACAAACACCCAGCAACCCATAATCCTTCCAAACAACAGTCTCAAGTGGTTAGGTTTTCTCTACTCAGTGAACTGTGACACTGTTCAACAATGAAAGACACTGACAGCCCTTTGCCTACTAAGGCCTACTAAGGCGCTTGGCCCATTAAGGTGCGGGCAGTGCCGGCAGCCCTACCCTAAAAGAGTATCGAGCTGAAATTGCTTCGATATCCTCAAAGTCATAGACTTTCTCAGTCAAATTTACTAAAAGGGCCCACTTATTGAACAGGCGGGCCAGTTGCAAACAATTGTCCAGCCAATCACTCACTTCAGCGGTGTGGCACTCATGGTTGTTGCTCAATGCCAGGTAGGCCAGCAAACCCTCCATTCTGCATCCAAGGGTTTCATCGTTGGTCATCTTGGCCTCAGATGAGAAGCAAGGCAAAGTCCGAAACAAAAGAAAACAGAAACAAAAGTAAAAAATCAGGTGACAATCACATGAATGACAATGACAACAATTCAATGACTTGAAACTTGACACCATGGTTCGTTGACAACGTATGATGGGCACACCAAGCGTAGGAGGTTCCCAAAGTTTGCGTTCCCGAGTTCTGGCACCGACAGCACCCTGAGTCTATCTCGGTTGTCGTGGAAGAGGTTGTGCCAGTTAGACTGACCATCGTAGTGGTAGACCATGGCGATCCCCTCGACCTTGGCCTGTGTTGGCGCCATTTCAAGGAGCTTGTCGAAGATTCCATCACAGGCTTGCCAAACCTGCTTTGCCTTCTCTGCATGGGCCACTGCCGAGATCTGGGCTCCGCGGGATGTCATGGCAAACTAGGTAACTAGGCGCTGAACACAAGACTTGGGCCTGGACAATGACTGCCACAATGACAATGACAAATGACTCAACAATGACTTGGGCCTGTCAATGACATCCTTCAAGTTTATGACCCAACACCTAAGCCTAAGTGCTCTCTGACGTGAACACTGACAATAACTGACTGCAACCATGTTTACTAAATGGCTTGATTCCTTCAAACAATGTCAACTACAACGCAAGTGACTGCAAACAGCTGACTCTCATCCTTTTGCGAGCTACAAGTGACAGACTTTTGACAGCAAACAACTATACACAAACTTTCCGGACTTTTCCGGACTTTTGCATCATTGACATCAAATATTTGGCAACATGCAATCATCAGCAACTCATCACACTAATAGAGTGCCAAGGTCTGTTGCAAAGGCTGTTGGCAGGCCTCGGCCAAAGCGGGGACATACAACCAGATGCAGTACAATGAACAGGTGCAACTGGACATAAGACAATCACACTCAACCCTGTGCATGTTTTATGGCACACAGACGATGGTCGTTCTTGATTAGACTCGACAAAGTCATTAGCAACTGCTCCGCTCTTTTTGAGACTCAGCTATGCCGGTATGTCCAATGTCATTGGAAGTCAGCTGCGACGGCATCGACCGCAACCATTCTTGCTGTAGCGGCACTTGCTGCAACCCGTTAATTTGTCCTTGGCCACCGATGACACAGGCCGTTGCTTTGCTTTTGGAGCACTGCGGCCTTTTGGAGCGATGGTTGGCACCGGCAGCATAGTTGATGACGGCCTTTTGATGACTTTCCCACACTTCTTCTTAGTCTTGCCACCCTCAAGTCCATCAGCTTCCTCCTTTTTGTTGTCCTTGTCATCCAGATCCTGGGAATCAGGATCACTTCCTGCCTCATCCTCTATCTTGTCATCCTCAAGGTCTTCCTCTTTGAAAGTAAAATTTGGCCAGTAGGCATCTTGAGAACATCCACCGGACATGGCTGACAGTGATGACCGCGCTTGAGCAAGGCTGACAGTTGGCACACATCAAGTTTAACTGACAATGGGAACAGTGGGTGGCAGCCAGTTGAAGAAACTGTTGAAGGTGGCAATGATGAAGGTGGCAATGACACTGATGACAATGATACTTAAAACAGTTTAACATTTTTCACATCCTGGCCACAGTGAAGCACGATGAAGGCCCGGAGTGTCAAACCTTTATTAAAGGCCAAATCAAAATTCTACTCACACTGCAAGATGCTTCTACTCAGAGTCATCCTCCTCGTCAGCAGTTTCCACATCATCATCATCCTCTTCCGCAGCATCATCACTCTCCTTACCGCACTCATCGCCCTTAGGCTGCGGCTTCGGGCCACCTCGCCCGCGACCTCTTGGACGTCCACGGCCACCACGTCCACGGCCGCCACGTCCACGGCCACCACGGCCACGCTCAGGAACATTCCTTAGTTAATTCAATGAGACAATCAATCAAACCATCATTGTCAATCATTGTCACCAACCACAAATATAAAGACAACAGCAGTAAAACCAGTGACTTTAATAAAGGTTAAATTCAAGTGGCTTCCCAGTCATATCATCCTCAGCCTCATCACCTGCATCAGCCTTGAGGATTTTGGCAACATCTGCTTTGAAGGTTTTGGACTGACAATCCAAGAAGGACTTTACAGCAATGGCTTCAGCAGCAACCTGATACCACTTCATATGCTCAGGGGAGCAGCAACACACAACGGCTGGAATGCTCGCGCTGAAGAGCGGCTGGAGGATAGTTGGGTCCGTGCCAGTCTGGAAGACAACGAGCTTTGGTCTAAACCGATGAAGCAGTTCCTTCCTGGAATGACAGTGACATCAACACACGATTGTCATGTGGGATGAAACCAACGCAACGCATCAAGCATTGTCATGTTTTAACAAGGACTTGAAGGACTTGGTTGACACTTGATTAGCAGGATTGGACTAAAAAATATTCATAGGTTGACAATGAATTGCAGGATTGGACTAGCTGACTAAAACTAAAATATAAAACTTCTTTGTTAATAATCCAAAGTCACACTAAATCTTTCGACATCACTTCAAGGCTGAAAGGCTCAGGGACAGCGGCGCCCCCAGACTCTGCCTTTGACCTGGGGTCCTTGACTAAAGAATCGCCCAAGTATGTCGCCTTCACAGTTGGGTCCAACTGGGTGAGCTTTGAAAGATCCGGTTTGCTCACATTCTGAAGGCAGTTTGAGGCCGTGGATCCAACATGTGACTTGTTTTGTCGGTTTCCGACTATCGTGTTGAGATTCTTGCCAGAGGCCACACAAACCGTTTCAAGTTGGCCCAAGTTCAAGCATCCACGGTCTTGCGACGTGGCAGTGACTGATCGAAATTCCTTCTGCTTCTTTACACTGGCGTCTTCATACACTATGTGAAACCGCTTCTGGCAAGGCTTTGCCACATTTGCGAAGCTACTCCAGAATTGATTCTGGAGCCCGTCTCTGCCTCCATCCAAAAAGAGGAACCTGAGAAATGAGGGCAGTGACATTGAATGACATTGAATGAAGGTAGTGGTGTAACAATGTCAATAAATAGAAAACCTGACTCAAGAAATTCAATTTCAATGACAATGAATGAGGGACACATGGTCAAGATTAAAGAGGAGCCTGAGGATTCAATTTCAATGACAATTCAATGAATGAGGGTAGCGGTTTGACCATGACACCCTGTCACACTGTCAACAGAATGCCAGGGCGCACATCAGAATCATGCATGTTGGGAAGCTGCAACACATCAGCTTCCCAGTCAATTGCCTCCCCAGGCTCAGCACGGGTGCTCAGGCAAGCCTTCACCACATTGTGCAAATGCTCTTTGCGGAAGGGCACTGGACTGGCAGCAGGCGTATATGATGGCACAAATTACCGCGGACAATGCATAAATGGCCTACTACAATGATGTTGACCAACAGACACTCTGATAATAATGACAATGACAAATTCAAATCAATGCAAATACAAATTCAATGTCAATGTCTTCAGAACCTTTAAGCAACATGAGCTGACAAGTTGAATGACCCTCATTGCCTCTTCCTGTTGTAGTTTTCACCAGAGCAAGCCACCTCATAGATGAAGAGAACTGAGGTGGTCTGGTCCCCGCGCACCTTGAAGAACTGGCATTCACTCAAGGTTTCTGCCAGCGAGGCCAAAGACTGGTTGCCATTGACACATTTCACACTGCTTGCAATGAGCCTCCTTGCATCCTGCACACGAAACTCAAGTCAGTGTCGCAACAATTCAAGTCAGTCAGTGTCCAACTGCAAAACACCTACTTGACACACCAATGGCGTCCTCTTGACAGCTCTTCAGTGTTGCCATGTTGTCGGGAGATGCCAGGACAGACTCAGCGGTTTCAGAGGGGATGTTCTGGAGCTTGAGCAGTGACACCAAGCCTCACCAATCATTGAAGACAGTGATGCCAAGCTTAGTTTTTAAATTCAACTTAGGAAACTGCTAGGAGAAACTGTCGGAAACTGCTAGGAGAAACGATGCTCAGGACAAGTGACTGTCTGAGTCATCATTGTCCAGACTGTTGCCCT